AAATATGGGTCTTAATCGCGCTCAACCACGGCTTGTATCACCGTGAGGTCAGCCACAGAGGAGCTCATGTGAGCGCAGAAGTCGGCTGCATACAATTCCATCGATAAGCTCCTTGCTCTTCCTGGTTTATCTGCTAAGGACAGCAACAAGTTTGGCTAACATACATATAACACATTTTTACATAATCTAAAATGCACATAGGGTAATTTTTCAATTACTATAGGAATGATAAGAGAGAGAGGTGAAGTGTAAGACGGTTGATTTTAGAAATTGGATGCAGCCGGCTGCAGCAAAACAGAGGAGTTTACGGAGGACACACGCGTTTTGTTTTACTTTTTAAAACTCATTGGACTCATTTCCAAATGGAGGATTACATATCTACGCTCAAACCATTCACTGGATTTAAACAAGGAACTGGTCTGAACCGAAGTGGACTGTGCAGGTCATTTATAAGGTATAGCTATAAGGTAAGACCCATAACTCATAGTTTTGCGTTTTGTATGAACAAACAATGCGGGCATAAAACATATTTTGCTGTAGCCAAACAAATTGTCCACTTGATTTATATGATGTGTATATGTTCATCTGATTGGACTGAAGTCAGTGCTTCACCAGCCTCACCGCTCGTCACCGGTGTTTCCACATTCACAGTGGCGGGCTTTACAGCACAGTGAGAGATGAAGAGTGAACAGGCCTTTTCCAGATGGAAATATTGGCACTGTTAAAGGTAAAAATGCGCACGTCGGGTGCACATTATGTTCCAGATCAAAACGAAAAAGTAACGCAATAGTTACTTTTACTGGTAACTAGTTACTTTTATAGTGGAGTAACTCCGTTAGTAACTCAGTTACTTTTTGGGAGAAGTAACTAGTAACTATAACTAATTACTTTTTCAAAGTAACGTGCCCAACACTGGTTGTGACTCTATGATGTCTGCTTGTCGTGACTCTGACGTCTGCTTGTCGTGACTCTATGATGTCTGCTTGTTGTGACTCTATGATGTCTGCTTGTTGTGACTCTGACGTCTGCTTGTTGTGACTCTATGACGTCTGCTTGTTGTGACTCTATGACGTCTGCTTGTTGTGACTCTATGACGTCTGCTTGTTGTGACTCTATGACGTCTGCTTGTTGTGACTCTATGATGTCTGCTTGTTGTGACTCTATGACGTCTGCTTGTTGTGACTATGACGTCTGCTTGTTGTGACTATGACGTCTGCTTGTTGTGACTCTATGACGTCTGCTTGTTGTGACTCTATGACGTCTGCTTGTTGTGACTCTATGACGTCTGCTTGTTGTGACTCTATGACGTCTGCTTGTTGTGACTCTATGACGTCTGCTTGTTGTGACTATGACGTCTGCTTGTTGCGACTCTATGACGTCTGCTTGTTGTGACTCTGACGTCTGCTTGTTGTGACTATGACGTCTGCTTGTTGTGACTATGACGTCTGCTTGTTGTGACTCTATGACGTCTGCTTGTCGTGACTCTATGACGTCTGCTTGTCGTGACTCTATGACGTCTGCTTGTCGTGACTCTACGACGTCTGCTTGTCGTGACTCTATGACGTCTGCTTGTCGTGACTCTATGACGTCTGCGTGTCGTGACTCTACGACGTCTGCTTGTCGTGACTCTACGACGTCTGCTTGTTGTGACTCTACGACGTCTGCTTGTCGTGACTCTATGATGTCTGCTTGTCGTGACTCTATGACGTCTGCTTGTCGTGACTCTACGACGTCTGCTTGTCGTGACTCTATGACGTCTGCTTGTTGTGACTCTATGACGTCTGCTTGTTGTGACTCTATGATGTCTGCTTGTTGTGACTCTATGACGTCTGCTTGTTGTGACTGACGTCTGTTTGTTGTGACTCTGTCGTCTGCTTGTCGTGACTCTATGACGTCTGCTTGTTGTGACTCTGACGTCTGCTTGTTGTGACTCTATGACGTCTGCTTGTTGTGACTCTATGATGTCTGCTTGTTGTGACTCTATGACGTCTGCTTGTTGTGACTGACGTCTGTTTGTTGTGACTCTGTCGTCTGCTTGTCGTGACTCTATGACGTCTGCTTGTTGTGACTGACGTCTGTTTGTTGTGACTCTATGACGTCTGCTTGTCGTGACTCTACGACGTCTGCTTGTTGTGACTCTATGACGTCTTTTTGCTAATATGAAGTACATGGATCACATTCCGTCGCGATACTATTGAATTATGGCCCAAATATCGCAATAATATCAAATCCTCTCATTTTTGCCACTTCCCTCTCCTTACCATTACTGTGAGGGTTCTTTTTACAATACAGATGGCTGGGTCGGAAAGGGCTGTTTTCAGAGGTTTTTTAATGAAAACTCTCAGTAGAAAAACAGTGGGAAATTACAAAAAACATATTTACAGAGCACAGTGAAAAGACTATCGGCAAAAAGGATATTTACAATAAAATATGCACGACTTCAACACTAAGTCTTTTTTTCCTTAGCTTTACACTCAAGCTCCTGCAGTCCACATTACCTTCTCTGTAATGGGGCAGACAAGCACACCTTTTGGACCCTGCTGGCCCCTCCCACATTACAAATCAATCATCGAATAAAACATCATATCTACACTACATGAGTATTTCCTTATGTTCATGATTTCATATTACAGTTCCACATTGACACATTTACCATAAAATACATTATGAGCTACACACTGCAAAGAGTCCAAATGTCCATGCAAATGAGCTGTGGTCACATGACCCACAGACAGGTGCATTTAATCCACGGGCTCCTTATGTCCGGGTTTGCCAAACGCACCATGGAGACGCCACGACCACGCCAGCACAGGCGAGTGAATGACACATGTAACAGATGTAACACACCATGCAACGCTCCCAAGTGTGACCTGAAGACACGTTCACGCACGCTACATGTCACAAACACGGTGTCTGCGTCACAGTGGCTGCGTCACAGTGGCTGAGTGGTTAGCACTCTCGCCTCTCAGCAAGAAGGTCCTGGGTTCGATTCCCGGTCGGACCAGGGCCTTTCTGAGTGGAGTTGGCATGTTCTCCCCGTGTCTGCGTAGGTTTCCTCCGGGTACTCCGGTTTCCCCTACCACTAAAAATATGTACAATAGACTGCCGTGCGCCTCCTGTTCGGCGAACCTGCTCCCATCTCTGTGTGGAGTGAGTGTGGAGCCCAAAAATAACATTTGTAAACCGCTTTGAGACTCAGATCTGCAGTGAAAAGGCGGTATATAAATAAAGATTACTTACTAATTACAAACACAGTCTATACTAGCAGTAGTCAATGAATGGGTTTGGGCTTTGAGCGCAGCCACCATGGCACCGGGCGCACGCAACTTCACATGCGCTCCGTGGGACAGCGTGCTCAAGGACGGGCTCACTCCGTCACAATTACATACTTCTATTATATATTTTTTGTCGTATACACTGAATCCATCACGGAGCACATTCCTGGAGGTGGTCTGTGAGCGCAGGGTCTGGGTTTAATCAATGTCTAATCAAAGGTGTTTTCCCAGCGTTCCCGTTCGGCTCCCGCTGGGATCCTCTACAGCGCAGAGTAAAGTCAGTTATTGACGAGAGGGAGCTGCGAAAGGTTCGATACAATCCACAGAACAACATTACTGTGTTTGTAATCACACACAAACACAGAAGAAGAGTCCCACGAGTCCAGTTCAGAGACCGGGGTTTAGAGACCGGGGTTTAGAGACCGGGGTTTAGAGACCGGGGTTTAGAGACCGGGGTTTAGAGACCGGAGTTTAGAGACCGGAGTTTAAAGACCGGGGTTTAGAGACCGGGGTTTAGAGACCGGGGTTTAGAGACCGGGGTTTAGAGACCGGGGTTTAGAGACCGGGGTTTAGAGACCGGAGTTTAGAGACCGGGGTTTAGAGACCGGGGTTTAGAGACCGGAGTTCAGAGACCAGGGTTCAGAGACCGGGGTTTAGAGACCGGGGTTTAGAGACCGGAGTTTAGAGACCGGAGTTTAGAGACCGGAGTTTAGAGACCGGGGTTTAGAGACCGGGGTTTAGAGACCGGGGTTTAGAAACCGGGGTTTAGAAACCGGGGTTTAGAGACCGGGGTTCAGAGACCGGAGTTTAGAGACCAGAGTTTAGAGACCGGAGTTTAGAGACCGGGGTTTAGAGACCGGGGTTTAGAGACCGGGGTTTAGAGACCGGGGTTTAGAGACCGGGGTTTAGAGACCGGGGTTTAGAGACCGGGGTTTAGAGACCGGGGTTTAGAGACCGGAGTTTAGAGACCGGAGTTTAGAGACCGGAGTTTAGAGACCGGAGTTCAGAGACCGGGGTTTAGAGACCGGAGTTCAGAGACCGGAGTTCAGAGACCGGGGTTTAGAGACCGGGGTTTAGAGACCGGGGTTTAGAGACCGGGGTTTAGAGACCGGGGTTTAGAGACCGGAGTTTAGAGTCCGAAGGATTTATGAATGAAACGGAGAAACTACGACACGCTTCAGTAGGAACAGTTTACAATCAAGCTGTGTTCCCACGGGATCAGCAACCAAACACCAAACATGAGCTAAACCAGGACTAAACCAGGACTAAACCAGGATTAAACCAAAACTAAACCAGCATTAAACCGGGACTAAACCAGGACAAAACCAGGACTAAACCAGGACTAAACCAGAAATACATCAGGCTTTTCCACACACAGTTTTCCCACTTATAAAATGAGAGAGATCCAAAAGCAAAAGTTCAACTCAATAATACTTTGACAGCCAAGATTATTTTACAGAGCTCAAACATTTAAAAACAGCTAGTATTTTGGCCCATTCTTCTATGCAGACCTTCTCTGGATGTCCACAGATTTTCTATAGGGTTGATAAAGAAACACCAGAAACTTGAAATTCTTCTTACTCCTTCATTGGCTGGAGACTTTTTGATCATACAATCCTTAAAAACCAGTTGTCGTATCCCATTTGCAGAAAAGCTGCACCCAAACCATAATTATTTTTTGTGTTGGTAAAAACTTTGCATAAGTCGCATTAACAGATACTAAAC